AACAAAGTATATATTGTTTCATTCCAAAAAACTAAAAAAAAATATACCAACTATACTTCCCCCACTAAAAATAGATAAGGTAAACATTAAAAGAACAGAAACAACAAAATTTCTTGGGATACTTATTGGCGAAAATATAACTTGGAGAGCCCATATTAGTACAATAAACACCAAAATTTCAAAAAATATTGGGATACTTTACAAAGTTAAACCTATGTTGTCCCAAGAAAATCTTAAATCTCTTTATTTTTCTTACATCCAAAGTTATCTTACGTACGCTAATATTGCATGGGCAAGTACACACAAATCTAAGTTAAATACTCTTTATTTAAGTCAAAAACATGCATCAAGATTAGTTTATAATAAATATATACTCACCCATGCTGAACCTTTACTAAAAACCCTAAATGCACTGAATGTTTACCAAATCAACATCTATCAAAATATTCTTTTCATGCTTAAATACAATCTTGGACTAGTCCCATCGCATTTTTAAGATAACTTTTTTCAAATTAACTCTAATAGATATACCACAAGAGCAACAGGGAACTTCACATTACCAAAAAAAACAACAAAGTTCTCACGATTCTCTATTTCCTACCGGGGTCCGTACCTATATAACAAAAAAATATCCAAAAATATAGAACTTAAAACATTAAATAATTCTGCCACATTGAAAAAAAAATTAAAACACCTCATACTTAATATCAAAAATTTTATTGACATGTATTAAACTTAACAACAAGATTTATACTAAAATGTTTATGTGTATCACTGACTGTGTATTGCTTAACCACTTTTAACTATATATAAAAATTAATTAAATTTATTTAACCATTTGGAAAGGTACTTGATGATAAGACTTCATAGTCTTCTGCGAGTCTCCTTTACAACAACATGTTTATATTTGAAGAAACAATAGTTTTTATTTAAAAAAAAAAACAGTGTTTATTAATCTAACGTTATATTTTATTATAATTGTTAAATTACGTATTCTTATGTTATGTTATATATTTTACTCTTTGCATTAAATTATATGATAGAATTGTAACGTAATGAAGTGTATATTGAAGTTGTAAAAAAAAAAAAAAAAAAAAAAAAAAAAAAAGTAAAATTTGCACTTATTACACTATATTTTGCCAAATGGTAGCTAAATTATTGCTTTAGGGCTAGAACTAAAATTTTTTTAAATGTGGAAAAAAACTAAAATGGTAGCAATAAATGTTCAAAAACTAACTAATTGCCAGTGTCAGTCTAACAAACTATATTGAAAATAATTTATTTATACTTGAAACATTACAATTTTAGTTCCAGCCCTCATAAATAAGTTAATACACATACTGTGAAAATTTGAAGACAAAAGCTTTAACCAAACTGAAGATATTAGCGTTTTTGTAAGAAAACCGTATGAAAATAAGAATGTCTTAAAAAACACATTTAAAAATAAAACAACATAAAAAAGAAAAGTGTTTTTGTGAAAAGTTACTAAAAACTGCCACTTTACATCTTCATTCTCTTTCTCAATGTCTAAATAACCTTTTTTTATAGATCTTAAATGTTTTCTTCGTTTTTTATTCATGTCAGTTGATTTTCTTGACATACTTGATAGTCGCTTTTTATCTTTTTTGAAAGCTTCTTTTTTGAAATAAATACCTCCAGTAAACCCAAGCATTTCAAAAATATTCCTTAAAGAAGTAAATCCATCATTGTAATTTAAAATAGCAGAATAAACAGCTATTTCAAGAATTTTTCTTCTCTGCCTTATGAAACCATTAAATGACTCATTGCAGTTTTGTGTCATTCCATGTAAACACTTTCTTAGCATTTCAGGGTTTAACAGTTCTTGAAAAATAGGTTTAATTTCCTCCATAATTGTAACAGTAATTTTTTGTCTATAACTTGTTTACCTGTAACTTTATCTGATTGCCATTTGCACCAGCTGTTTTTCCCTTTTAAACAAAATTGAAGACGAGTAACTTCATAAGGAAAATTTGTACAATGGTAAAGTACAGCTATTACAGAATTTCTTATACACAGTATATCATTTTTATTTTGTCTTATAGCCATTCCAACAAAGTTCTGCATTGTGTTAATAGATTTATTGGTTAATCTTCCTTTTCCCGATATTTTTAGGCCGTCACTTAACAACCTGCCTTTAAAGTCTTTAATTTTTTGACGCAAACGAGAGCCTACTCTTTGCTGATAATGGCCAATACACTCTAGTTTTTCAATAATACAATCACCATATGGTTTACTTTTAACAACATTAGAAAATGAACTTGAGTCACCGTCTCCAAGGTATTTAGTATATCTTAAATTATACTTTTGTATAGACGAATGAAATATTTCTTGAGCTCCAGCAGCTTCCATTGACCCTGCTGAGCTAAAATGATTAACCTGGCAATTATGTGTAGCTTTCCAACATTAAAAATCAATAGGATTGTTTATTCTTTTATGTACTTCACACTGCAAACAAAACTTAGATAAAGAAAAAACATCAATCACCTTTTTATTTTCATGTGAAAGACCAGCAACAACACCATTTAGGGAAGAATATCCATGACGTTGCCATGTTCCGTCTATTGATATGCCACAGTCAATAATTTCATCATCAGAAGCATTTGCATTTAAAATTTCTCTTAGTTCTGATACAGCAGCTTTCATACTCTGTGAACTAATTTCCTTATAAACTTTATGTAATTTATTGTTTGTAAGATTATAACTGTGATTTGTAAGAGGTGGAGGCATATTCATTATAGCAGTAAAAGTAGACAGCTTCATTACCACGTCCAATTTCATGAAATGCCATAACAGCTCGTAAATTTATTTCATATGGGTTTGAACCAGGTTTTGAACTTAGATTTATAGTTGGAGATGAATAAAATGTACTTTCAAAGCCACAGTTTGAACATTGTATTATAATTCCAATAGAAAATCCCATACGTACAGATTTATTATGCAAAAAAGTTAGCTTGCTATTACACTCATTGCATGTAGAATACAGTTCAAATATATTTTTAATAACTCTAAAGTTACAAATAAAGAAAAAATTGTCGACTTCAGAATCACAATTCGTTGCACCATTAAAGTTATGTTTATTCTTAAGCTTTGATGCACTTGTTGTTTCTGATTTCCTGCTACAATCAACTACATCATTTTCTTTCCTTGAATATCTATTTCCTTGATATTTTCTCTTTAAACTTCTAACTTTATTTCTTTTGTTATCCATATTTAGATTAAGATAGCTTTCTGTTAAATTCAGACAGACAGTTTTCAGTTAAAATACATCAGAATAATGAAACAGAGTACATTTTTTAAAAATGATATACTTTGCAGAACAGTAGAAAATCATAGTAGATCTAACACAGAGAAATACTTCAAAATTTCTAGTGAAAATCTTTAAGAAGTAGTTAGTGAAATAGTTGTTTACACCGTTGCTATGGCGTTGCTATGGAATAGGAAAGTGCATTGACCACAATAACTGTACTTTTTGTTACTTTTAAAGCACATAGTAGTAAAAATTGATTATGGATTTTGTACTTCAATGTTTGAAATAGCATAAAACAAAAAAAACAAAACCTTTTTTTTTTTGATTTTTAATAGGGGTGAGCCACCTTAAGGAAGGAGGCGTGAACTTCCTGGTTAAATGCACTTCCGCAGAGCTCTGTGACAAGACCGTAAGGACTTCTTGGGGCACTTAAACAACAAATTAAAAAAAAAAAGTGCGTGTATAAAACACGAGGGCTTAAGTCTTATAAACAGAAAAACTTCAATTACGCTGGCATTTGGGGCAAAGGGGGCCTTAAGGCCTTTAAAGCGCCTTTAAAGCGCCTTTAAAGCGCCTTTATCTAGCCAAAACCTTTTTTAAAAACCATAAAGACTTGGTGGTTTTCAAAAAATTTTTGAAAAATTTTATTTATACCTGACACAACACATTGTATTTCTGCATTACTATTAATTTTCTGGATTGAGTTCATTCAATTAAAACTGACATGAATCAAAACATTAGTTTTAAAACTAATAAACAAAAAATCAATTAAAAAAATCTTCAAGAAAGATTAATTATTCAAAAATTGAATTTTTTGAGCTTTTCTGGCCGCCAATATCGATGACATTAGGTAGCTAACTTTTTTAGACAAATATTCTTTAATTGAAATAATCAAGTATCAGTAGCGATCCTAACCCTTGGTCAAACTAAGTATGTTTTTAACAATTTTTAGTTTACTAAATGTTTGTTCACCCTTAGCAACTGACTCAAAAATAGTGTTGAAAATCAGGAGCATTATGCAAATATATGGAAAAAGGCGTTCAAGCTTCTTTTCAAAGATTTAATTGAGTAACTGCACTGAATTTCCTTGCTTGGAAATTGTTTTGCGGGCATTGTTAAAACGGTGAACTTTGTTCAAGATTCTCTTGTTTTAAATTTCTCAGTCCTAACGGTCTTGTCACAGAGCACCGCGGAAGAGCATTTAAGGAGCAACTACCCTCAAATTTTAAAACAACACTTATAAAGTAACTTTTTTTTAGTCATATAGTAAATATTATACTGACATTAAAAATACCAAAAAATACATAAATGGTAGCATGTTGCTATGGCAACTCACAAAAATAGCTAAAAAAAAAACACAAAAACTGTGTTTACGCCGTAAAAAAAATAAGAATTATTAGTAGAGGAGTGTCAATGAAATTTTGTATAACTGTTCTAAATATGTAAATTTGTGATATGAGCGAAGCAGATTTTTGAATTAATATTTTTTTTTGATAAAAGACTACAGACAAATTAGGTTATTAAAAAAAAGGTCAAAATACAAAGAAAAAACTAAATAATTCAAAATCTTGAATCATATGAGGAATTCTTATCCGCTCATATCATAAACATTGGTAAATGAACAATCCCTGAAAATTTCATCCGGGTCATTTTGGCTCCTTTGCCCCTCCCTCTACGAAGACCCTGATCACGACGATTCTAATCTGGGTCTGAAGAGCATATAAAACATTGTCTTATTAAATATATTTTATGATTTCTATAAAAGTATGTTTAAATTGAAGTTTTCTGAGCCAAAAATCTTTATCTAACATAATTTAACAAAATAACAAAAAATTCGTTTTTTAAATCGTTTTATCTTAAAACTAAAAAATGTGGAAATAGAACAAGATAATTCTAACGTCACGTATTATTGCAAATAGATTCATTATAATTAGTGAAATAAGATAAATATTTTACGAAAACGAAAAAAACAAAACAGAACAAAAAAAAAAAAAAAAAAAAATCTTAGGATTTAAAAATGTCTTGAAAAAAATGTATAAAAATAGAAAAATACATACTAAATAGATTTAAATAAATTGGTTAAAATACATAATCATAAATTTTTCTTAAAAAACTTTATAATTCCATCCATAGCAAGTTTAACATCTCTTGCCACCTTTTCATCATTACAATCTCCTCGTGGAACCCAACCATGAACCATTTCAGGAAAAAGTTGAATGTCGTTTTGATCACCAAACTTTTCTTGTAAAATTTGCTTTACTTCTCCACCATCATTATAAGTAGGTAAATCATTATTAGCTGCATAAATAAGCTGAGGACATTCTAGTAACCTCGCAAGCTGTTCAGGAGTTTCACCGTGAAGTGATCCAACATGCACTGAGGGATGAACATTTGCTCCACATTTCATTATCTTATTTTGACTTAAATGAAAAACAGGCCAGGCACCAAAACAAAAACCTAAACTACCATATGATTTAATATCACTTTTTTCTAAGTGTTTAAATACTTTATCAGTATCAGCTTTAATTTTTTCCCAAGTAAACTGTGATACCCACTTGAAAAGTTCAGCATCTAAAGGTGCATCTGCAGGCCACATATCCCCATGAAAGATATCAATCAAAACAACTAAAAATCCTTCATTTGCTATCTGATCGCATATAAGACGAATTCGTCCACCATTAAATCCAAAAATATCATAGTAAACAAAAATTACTTTATCACCAAAACCAACTTCGTATATATTAAGACCATCTAAATTCAAAACTTTTCCTATTGATTCATAATTTATAGATAATGCTTTTTCACTTCCAATAGGACAACACAAGGAGGATGACATTTTTATCTAAAAATATTTTGCAAAAAAAGAAAAAAATGTTTAATATATATATATATATATATATATATACATATATATATATATATATATATATATATATATATATATATATATATATATATATATATATATATATATATATATATATATATATATATATATATATATATATATATATATAAGGAGTGTTCAAATTTTACAATTTTTTTTTTGGAGCATGTATGCAAGCTAAAAAATGTTTAATCGTGAGTGATTTTAAGATAATATTTTGATTTTTCAAAAAAAAAAAAATTTTACCTGCTACACCCAATCAAAGTCATTCAAAATTTGTAACTTTTTACAAGATTGAAATTCTCGAGATCTAAGATACAAACAAATATGTCTTTTAAAAACATGAATATGACTTATTTGTTAGCTTGAAACATGTATATGACTTATTTGTTAGCTTGAAACATGTATATGACTTATTTGATAGCTTGAAAAAAAATTGTCTGTTACATGACTTTAGAAATAAAAACATGTCTGTTACATGACTTATTTGTAGCTTACTATGTCTAGAGCAAGCTTGAAAAAAAAAATTGGCACCCTAGCTTTATGGGATCACTTTGCTACAAATTGATTTCGGAAACCATGATAGTATGGACGGAGGGCGGGGGTAAGTGGGGGGGGGGGGGAATGGTGTTAAAAGCAAAAAAAAAAAGTTTTTGTTTACCAAATCACTTTGTTATAAAATGGTTATAAAACCGCATAACAATTATTATTTAATTTTATCGTAAAAATATTGCGATATAGAATGAAATAGAAAAGTAAATTATAAATAATAAAAATACATTTAGATAAAGTAATAAAATATAAGATTCGTTTACAATCCGTATAAAGTATAATATAAACCAAAAATTTTATACAAATAATAAAACCGAAAAGTATCATTATTATAAGGACAAGAAAAAGACATGCAAAAAGCCAGATGTTTTTTGGTTCAAAAAACCGATTTACTTATGATAAGTTTTGTATTTTAAAAATATTTTTTGTTTTACAAAACCTCATGATAGAATATGTTTATATTGACAATTTTTAAAAGACTGCGTTTGATACATAAAAATATGCAGTTAGACAATTTTTAACAATTGAATATTTATATTTTATCTACACTTTTTTTATTGATCAAAAATCAGTATCTAAAGTTTTCATTGCTTTTGGTTTAAAGTTAGTTTAATACTGGTTTTTTTATTAAAAATACATTCGTAAAGTTGTTTATGTTTAGTTATTTTTAATAACAATGTTAAACTAATATTTTTTGAATGTATTTAAAGCATTTTTTGAACTATGAGGAATAGGACAGGTATTTTTAGATTCCGAAATTATAAAATGCAAAAGAATTCTATTTAGAGAAGAAGAGTAAGTGCTCGCACCAAGGAGCACTTTTTAGTGGGTAAACCAGCTAAGATCTGTTCCATGAAGCTACTAACTAGGGCTGATGTGATTAAGCAATTTCTTTATCTTAAAGAAAAGAATGGACCAAGTTATTAAAATATGCGTTTTATATGCTGTCCTCTCAGCAACAAGTTCAGGTTCAATTTATACTTTAATTGGTTTAAAATGAACAAAAAACCTACACAAAAACATATCTATTTACAAGTAAATAGCACTTCAATAGCATTGAGGAAAAAATATGTTATATGTAGTTTCACAAAAACTATATTTGTTGAAAAAAAGTCTGATAAGTGAGGTTTTCCTCACAAATTCTTCAAATTTTTTTATTCAGTGTCCAGTGTACTTTTTTGGATACTACTTGCAAAAAGGAATGTGTACTTGGAGCACTTTGGTTTCCATGGCTAAGATCTGGTTTACCTATGATTGGACCTGTCACCCTGCAAAGAAATATAACAAAATATATTAACAGATATCTAAAGCTCAAGAAAAACCAACATAACAGTTGGGCAGGATGTGTGCAATCTCGCACTGACTTTTTAAAGACTGTAAGAGGTACTAACTACTTCTTATTCAAAAAGTTATTCATAATCTCCTTTAAATTCCCTTTTAAATTCTAGTTTAAATTAAATAAACTATGAGAACAGCTATAGGCATGGGTATAACAACTCATAAAACTACAGCAATCCTGATAAAGCTTGTCACCGCAGCTGGAGGTGATCCAAATAAGTTGCCCCTTTCTTATACTTCAGCTTTTCGAATGAAAAACAATATTATTAACAAAGATGCTGAAAATATTGGGATTTTAATAAAAAAGAGATCGAACAGGGTAAGGTGAAAATTCAGCTACACTTTGACGGAAAGTTATTCAAGGTTTGCATATATTTAATTTTAACTAGTGTTTTAATTGGAAACAACTGTTTTTCTTACATCGTTAATCTAATCCTAATTCTAGGACTTGATATCAAATCACGGTGATGTAGCAGTTGATAGGATTTGTGTTCTTGTGAGAGCTGGAGGTACTGATCATCTACTTGGCGCTCCAGGAGTTCATTCTGGTACAGGACTAAATCAGTTCAAGGCTATCAAAGAAATTTCGAAAGAGTTTGAATTTGCTGATCACGTAAAGATGGTCTGCTTCGATACTACTGCTATCAACACTGATTCGTGGTACTATATACAGGTGAACTGTTTTTCAATATAATTTAAAAGAAGGACTATAAAAGCTAATTACAATAAACAATTTAGTTATAATTTTAATTTTTCAGACCGTGAAACGATGTTGGTAAACCATTATTGATGCTCGCTTGTAGACATCATGTTTTAGAAGTCATATTAAAACATTATAGGCTAGCAGTTACCATAGACAAAACCACAGGACCTGACAAAGCACTCTTTAAAGGCTTGAAAAGTAAGTGGAATGATATTGACGTGAAAACTGTGTCATCACCCACTTTAAATGGCAATCTATTGATGATTCTTGGTTTAATGAACATGCAGAAAAACCAAGAAAATGTTTAATGACGATTGTGAATGAAGGAGTCTTCAAAAACTCTCAGGAAAACATTTCTAACTATTTGAATCTTCAAGTTTGAATACAAAAAAAATAATGAATGAAATTAAATATCCGCATTAAACTTTTTTAGAGACACGAAAAGAAAGCAGACTATCAGGAACATGCTGAGCTAGCTATCATGTTCTTGGAACCGACATTCAAGCCTTTCAACATACACAAGCCTGAAGCAGTACATCATGCTCGTTTTATGGCAAAGAGTATCTACTATCTAAAGATCATGCTTCTTCTTAATTCGACCAAGCAAATCCTAAAATTGAGCCAGGAGAAGATTAATGAGGTTGAAAAGATGGCAATTTTTATTTTAATTTTCTATGCTTCTCAATTTCTGAAAGCTGAAAAATCAGATACAGCTGCAATCCAAGTTAGTTTTTTAGCCTTTGATACAAATAATCATAGTTAAATTTTAGCATAATTATCTGATAAAATAGTGTATCCAAATTGTATAGAAATTTTAACTTTGAAAGACCAGCACTTTATTTGGCAAACGGCCCACTTGGAGAAGTTTGATGTAGCTGCAGCTTCAGTCTTCAAAAGGTGGGGAAAACACAGCTGGTAATTAGATCCCACTACTGTTATTTTTGCCCTAGCCAATTCAGATCAGTCTGTGTTTGACATTACAAAGGAAGAAATGGCTAGAAAGCTAGTACAGTATCCTCGAACAGACAAGTATGACTTTGAAAAAAGGAATAATACCGGTTTTATTCCACAAAAGATTGAGTTTCTCAAACTCACCGAGCCACCTTCACTTGTTAATTATGTAGGAGCTGAGTCATGGTTAGTGCTTGATATACTTAAACACACTGAAAGACTTGTTAAGTGGCTTTTTTATCCTTCTTCTACATTGAATATAGATCCAGATTTCATTGCTTTTCAACTATTTGTTAAAAGCTTGACAGTTGTTAATAACGCAGCAGAGAGAGCCGTAAAAGCAATCTTTAAATCACTCACGATTACACATCTTTTTAGTTTGCATACATGCTCCAAAAAATTTTTTGTAAAATTTGAACACCTCTAATATATACTTTGAAAAAAAAAAGCTTAAATTTAGACTTCAAAATGTTGATTCGAAATTGAAAAACTCATTTTAAAATAATTTGTAAATTTTTATGTAGGCCGCCAAAACCATAAATGGTTACACAAGCTAAAGCTTGTTGCGGTACAATAAATAATAATAATATTTATAATAAAAATAATATATATATATATATATATATATATATATATATATATATATATATATATAACGGGTTATAACAAAAACCAGTAATAACTTTGAAGGGGCATAACTCCCTTAGTACATGAGATAAAAACTTAATAAAAAAAATATATATATTATTTTAGTTATTTGAATATTAATTTTTTGAATATTAATTTTTTTTAATCAAAACGTTGCGTCTTAATCTAAACGGCGCCGAGTTTACTCAGAAAGGTGCAGTACAAGAGATTTTTCCATTTTAGAAAGACAATACTTTATTTTGGAAAAAGCAAATCCAGACGCGTAATTTCTTTACATATTTTGCAGTAGGGTTAAATTTGACACTTGAGAAACATCACTTGAATAATAAATATCATTTCCATTAATCGAAGAGTGGTTAAATGTGAAGTACGACTCGTCGTCAAGGATTAAAAATTTATTGGCCGAAATTCGATACAGCCGACCGCACTTCGTCCGAACTGTCTCTATTTGGTCACAAGTTCTTAATGGAATCTTCTTCTTATTCTTTGACCTGATTAACGACTTTGTTTTTAATGTCTTGCTGATATATACTTCGGTACAAACGTTCTTAACGGGCTTCTTGTTTTTCTTTTTTCTCTGTAACAATGAATTATTTTAATTTAAAACAAAACAAGTTTTGTAGAGAATTAAAAATGTTACGAACTAGGTAAGATTGTAACCATAATTAATATAAAGTATGTTACATAACTTTGACTTCAAAGTCATTTTTTAGTTACAAGCCGTTATATATACAGCGGCGTGGCTTGTGTCTGAGTCCTCCCTTAAAACCTACTATTAAGACCCTAATTCCTTAAGACCTGTTCAGGATTAGGGTTAGGGATGTGTTAGGTTAGGGTTAAAGATAATCAGTTATAAAGTTTATCACGTCATACAAAGAAATAGGAAATAACAAAAGAATAGGTTAAAAAGATACGCAAGATAAATAAAAAATTGCAGCTAAACAGAAGTTGTCATTTGTACATGGTTAACCTGTTTATTCATACCAGGTTTTAACCATTCTATAAACATACTTTCTTTAAGTGTTAGTTCAAATTTGTTAGATACCCAATCTAACACAGAAAAAAGTTTTTTCAGGGTTAGATTAGCCATCTAACAAATTTGAGCTAAAACTTAAAAA